GTGTGCGAATCCTCTCATCCATCCGGGCCTTTTAGGAGATTCAATCGATCTTCTAGAAGACACCAAGAACTCCAAATTTCCCTCTTCCTTGCCAACTTATTTCTGCAGCAATACGATCTTCCCCTTGGATATCATCTACCTTGACATTCCAAATCAGTTGGCGACGATGTTTCTTTCTAGAATAGTAGGATGTTTCAGTATCCTATCTTTTCACCCTTTTCACCCTTTTCACCCTTTCCACCCTTTTCACCCTTTTCACCCTTTTCCATTGCACGTTCAAGACTTTTAATTTTATCATTCTGCGAGTGGAAGACCAAGCATTCACGCACGCACAACACTCAAGCTGAGTGTGCTGAAAACGAGCTTTACCGCAAGAAAGCATTGATTTGAAGAAGAATATGCATTCCAGCAGACATCTATCACGAGGTGGATGATCATACATAAAACCTAACCCCTCCTTTTCAGCGAAACAAACACAGCCCGCATGCATAATGCAGACTCACAGCAGCAGCAGCACCCCACACATGCTGCGTAAGATGGAAACCAATCGCTCAACTTTCCCAAATTGAGCATTTTTAGACATCACGCTATGTTGTTCTATTTAAGATATTTCTTGTGCTTTGACCTGAAGATAGTTCTTCCTGACATGGTGATTGGCTCATTTCCATATTGATCGATTATAATAAATTTATGGGTACGACAACATCGAGATCTGCCTAGTATCTTTTCACACTTCAGCCAATGACTCTAGCAAACAAGTTTGATCTGCTGATTGGATAATACATTGAATATAGCTTTTTCAGTGATGTATATTAAAATGCAAACCCTAAAACGTAGAGTGGATACTCTACCGATCGTGAGAAGTATTTGTCAAACTTTAATACTATACGAGATACATTACTCGATAGTCCATCATGCATTTTTGATTTCGATTCGGCTGATTTCTGCATAGGAGTCAAAAGATCATTTTCTGCTGAGCTGTCCTCGTAACTACGTACATAGAAGATTTGATTTTCCAAGGCCAGACGCCCTGAGATGATATTTCCAAGCCCGAGGAAAGTTTTGCTAGGCATAAACTTTGGGCCCGTCATCCTTTTTTTGAAAAACTTGATGAGTACATTTCATCTGAAATGAACCTGTTTAGATGATACGACTACGATTAAGTTTCTTGAGTTCGTTCACGCCGAGCTATACTCTTGATCATTGCATCGGGACAGCTCTTTGCAGACAATGTGTCCGATGCCGATGATGCAGAAACCCAGGTCTATGATGGGAGTGATACGACAGTCTTGTCGAGATATTTCTGAGCTGTCTATGATTTGACGTAGTAGCTTTGAATACATCGCACGTGTTGAACAATGTTCGCACACATGTAACGAGTGTGCGAATTTAGCGTCAGCAAGCATCAGTCTGAGAAGGAAATGTACACGTATCTTATCCTATCCCGTTCTGTTCACATTATCGAATTTTGTACGTCACCTCCGAGACTATGAGCTTAGTGCATCGATTTTTGTGTCAATCTTGCGAACATGGCATACATGGGGTCCTTTCAACTGCGCAGATATTAAATCCACAATGAATCGGTCTGTTGTGTACACGTTCGTTCAGTCCTTGCTTCTTTTCCGTGCTCTATTTACACTTGTTTTGGTCTTGCGCATTGCTACACAATCTGGTGAGGTATGATGGATTTTTGATAAGATCCTCCAATGTGCTTCCAAATGTGAATGTGCAGTGTCCCACCATTTTCCTGTAGGAATCTTAACGATAGATTTTCAAAATATACTTGCGCATGTGCATATGCCATCACCTTGAAAGCAACCATGCGGATGAATACTACATCTAATGTATATATGTATATAAATATTGCCATCTTATATACCACCATGCTTCAAAGCTCCAGGCAATTTCTCCCGAGTATTTATTTTCATTCTATATAAACACTTCATACCTACCATCCCATCCCACACAAACTATCTCCTATTCTTAGCAGAAAAATCTCTCTTCCCATTCAACTTATTCCCCAGATCTCGAGACCTCATCCTCGATCCTGATACTTTTCATGCTCAAACACACCAAATACCCAAGTGAATATCCTGTTTTCATTATCTGTATCTACGATAAATAATATTGAATGTGAATCTACCGAATGAGGGGCGTACTATCACTGTAATCTTTCTTTCATATTCGAAATGGAAATTATCATCCTCCAACCTCCCTATTCGGAACTAATGCACCCCATATCTCTCGTCTCTGAACATCCGGTATTCATACCGTACCCTCAGGGCAACAGAGTAATCAAAACATGTAATCAAAACCTAGTTCTTCCTCTATTGATAATACTATAGACACATTCTATGGCTTTTCTGGTGTTGAGATATGATTACCTATCGAGTAGCAGTTCACTAGTGATTTCACTCAGTATTCAGAAGCGATTAATCTCACAATAACCACTCCATTTTATACCTTCTCGATACTCCTAAATTTCAATCCCTAGACCTATTCACCTTCAACCTCCTTCATCCATACCCATGTTCATATCCTCTCGCAGCAGGCATGGTATACATCATCATCGTACTCAACCCTAAACCCATCCCTAAATCCCATCAGTCAGGAATCCCCTACTCCAATACACCCACAAGGACCAAAATCCCCAGCGAATCCCAAGAAACTCAAAGCCAAACTCCAGATTACATTTCAGGTTATAATCCCAATCCCTATAAGTTGAAGTTGAATTATGGTGTTTGTTCAATAGTCTGAATCGTAGTTTGACAATAAGGATTTTTAAACCTTCAAATCACTAGAATATTTAGATCCTTTCGAATATCGCGTGTAATTACAACGTCAAATCATTCTCAAATTTTTAATTGCTTCAACTATTCAAATCCTTATACTGTTGAACTGTAATCCAAACTATTGAATACCCTGTCTACAACAGCAAGCATACTTTTGTTCCACACCACAAGCCGAACGAGGATTCGATATCGATTATTGCCAGATACAATGACTGTATCGATATACGGTTTCTCGAGGTGACGTATCATGTCAATATTTCAAGCTGTGAGTCTCCCGAGTCCCAACGAAAGCTGGGGAAGATGTGTAATATTAAGGGAGATGAACTGTATAAAGGCATATGTATGTTTATATTACAAGAGTAAAAAGAAACTAACAAGCACCTGTTAATGTAGAATGACTAGATTCCCTCTCTACTTTCACCTTCCCCTCAACATTGAATTAACCAAAACTGTTTACCACCTGGCCCTTTCCCTCCTAAAGTTTAAGTCCATGCCTTTCCCCTATCTTCACGGACGTCTGATAGTCGAATTCCTCACTACGCATTTCCTCTTCCCTATTCCCTGAATACTAATGATAATATCAATGTAATCAATAGTCTGAACTGCGACTCAACAATGTAAAGAGTTTGGATATTTAAAAGGAATTAGATATCTTAGAACAATTCAATGTTTTGATCAAATTCAACTTCTGAAGTGATTTGAATGTTTCAAATGATTTAGGGATTTGGTAGTCTTCGTTTGTGAATTGCGGTTCGAACTATTGAGTACGTTAAACACAATTTTCCATCCAAGAATTCCACACACATCTCACTCTCTCCTATCTACACCCAGATTCAAAGCTACTCCACCCACTAACGAGACATTCGCTAACTCTTCAATCGTCCAGATTTTTTGAATCTAGATATATATTCACAAACCATCACGAGCATTAACGAACAACGCCCGTTTGGCTTAGCGGTAAAGCGCATCACTAGTATTCGTGACAAAATCACGTGACATGATGAGATCCTAGGTTCGATTCCTAGAACGGGCAATTCCAATCATTGATTGTGACCATTCTTTTGTCAATTAGGTTGTTCCAAGCCCTCTTTCTTTTTATCACGCTGAGGATCGTGGGGGAGATTCATCTCCAGAGTGCCACTGTGAAGGTTTGAGAACGAAAAGGAAAAAGACAACAAGGTGAAGTGGGGTACTTCATTTGTGTTCGTGCACCAGATTGCATTTTAGTTAATGTGCTGGTGGGTGGGTGGAGAGGTTGGTGGAGACTGCACCAATTCCTGAGAATCCCTTTTGTTCGCAGCGCTGAGGTTCCCATCTGAATTCTAAACTTACTACGTATTTACACGGGACCTCAGAAGGGTGGTTGTAGCGCTAACAAAACAGCTCAAAAGCCAAAAAGGGTGCACTATCCCCTCATCTTTCGTTATGGACTACTCATCCCTGTTCGCAGAACCTACGTCTCGTCACCCACCAACCTTATAAATCCCCTTGTTCGAATTTATAAAAAAAAACATACAACAGTAGGGATTCGCTGGTGGTCACCCACCCAACTACTAATCTACCGATCTGAGGCTTGTGTATGGCAGAGCGGACGGGATGCCCAATTCTCCTCAGTCTATGGTCGTATGTGACAGAAGATCCTTCTTATGTTCCTGTATTTGAGAGCCTCTGCAGTGTATGCTGTTGTTGAACTACAAGCCTTACATACTAGCCGAACAAAATCTTACCCCTTCCGAATAATAATAATTTCGCAAGTTGAAGAGTCGAAGAATAGGTAGCCCACCTTGCGTAGAGTATCCCGCCATGTTCACTTCTTTGACTGCGTCATTGGCGGAAAATTCTTGTCAAAGAAGCCCGAGATATCAAACATCCAGTAAACCCACATGATCTGCCATCACTTACCTATTCATGCTCTTAGCTTCAAGCACATCCCCCCACGTGTGAATCCTTCTATTGAAAATCAAAGTGCATATGCAGATACTTGATCATGTATGCTTTGCAACAAACGCGTTCTTAATATTCCATCCAACCCCCGATTTGCTAATCAACGTTCCAAATTTCAGAAGTCAGAAACCCGAACCTCGGATATAACAACCCCAAGCAATTTCAAGCCAAACCGAAACCCCGAGGTGTGCCCACAAACTCCATTCTCGTGATCAAGATCAAGTAGTGAACAAAATTTGTTGCACATCTCATAAGTCGGACCGACCGCGGGCCGGTAAGGGGGCTGCAGATATCAGCGGACCATTTGAATGATTTGATAAAGTGGCCTGACTCGAGAGAGAGGACTATCTAGACATGGAGTAAACTTTATTAAACACAACAATAATCCATATATAAAGCTCTAGGACCTTACTTTTGTGGTAAGCTTACACGTGTATATACATGCTGTCCCCAAGCTTAGTTGAACCATGAGGTAGATTTTGATTGGATCGAGAAGAACACTTTGAACGCTCAATTCCAAGACCAATAAAGAGTCAACCGAATTGGTTGACTTATGAAAATCTAGTCATTAAGATGGCACTTTATCAAAGTAGAGGATGAGATAGAAACTTCAAAATCGGTGTTTTATACAGATATCAAGTTAAGGTTATTGATGTGTAAATATGGACGACTAGTCCGCAAAGATATTGGACAACAATAGCACTTTCACTTGGAGCACATGAAGAAACGTGGTGGAATATCTTGTAAACAAATCATCGTTTCCATGTAATGAGTTGAGTACACATGTGTGTCTCGAGGATCCACCAACCACATCATATCAATGCATCTAGATCCCTAGTTCTGCTGCAAGAGTTTCAACCATTGCTCATATCATGTCCTGCATCTGAGCATGTCATACTGTACTTTGATTTGGGTTGTAGTGTGTGAAAACATGCATTCCTCGCTATATTACTGATCTTCTTCCCTTCCCAATGCTTTCGAATCAAAATTGATCTACCACACACATTAGTGAATTTCACCCTCAAGTACCAACCCATTTTCTCCAAAACGGATTCAAAATCCAAACTCACCTAAAGTCATGCTCATAGAAACATCTGTATTCTCCACCATCTTTGTGAATTCCTCGAAACTAATCTTTCCATCCCTATCCAAATCTGCCTCCATAATTGTTTTATCAACAATCTGTTGCAACTGTTGATCCTTCAAATTACTTCCTACCATCATCTTCAAAACGATGAATAGTTCTCCATTGCTTATGTATCCATCACGATCGATGTCATAAACCTTGAATGCAAAACGAAGCTTTTGTTCCTTGTTTCCTTTGCTGCTGAATGCGCTGAGTCCACTGACGAATTCTTGGAAATCAACGTCTCCACCTCCATCTTCATCGAATATGGCAATCATTCTGGAAAAGGGAGATTAATCAGTATATGTACATCATTTTAAACATTGCGTGTGGACGGCAGATGAAGAGAAATAAGATAGACCAACCTGGTAGCTAGAGGATTCGACGAGATTTGCGGAAGACTGAGGAACTCCTCACGTTCAATAGTACCGGAATTATCCTATAGACATAGACTCCATTAGCCCTCCTGAGTTCCATATACTTCCCACACGTTCAACGGAAAACTCCCAGTACTTCCAACACACTGAGTACACCGACCGAGGAAACAGAATAGTGCGCACCTTATCCAACTTCATAAAACGTTTTCTTAATCTATCAACCTCATCTCGATCAACTGTTTCGCACCCAGAATTAGCGCGCAAGTCCTCCCAATAACCAACCAGACAGTAATTTAGAAGAATGTATTATTCGCACAGTTTGACCCTTGTACAATATTCTCCAACACTGCACTACTTGTATTTCCCATATTGACGGATTGTGTTTGTCTGGTATGTGATTATGTATGCGGTAGGTAGGTAGGTGTTTTTTTTCGTAGCAAGGCCAATCGAGTAAAGGAGGTGGAGGTAAGCTGTTGAAGTAAAGGCGGTCGGTCGCAAGAGAAAGGCTTGAAGAATAGGGTGAATGGAGTAAAGGACGTGGTCGCAGTAAAAGAGATAGTCGCAAACCCAAGTAGTAGGTAAGGTTGTTGAAGTAAAGGAGGTGATTGGGGTTGATCGCGAGACTGGGGACTAGATAGGTGATAAATTTCCTTAGAAGGGCGGGGAGAGAGGCTGAAAGTAAGATGCGAGATTCGATGATGTCCAAAGTAAGGTATTGTTTTCCTTCCGAATCAGATTGATTATCGATTTAACGTATTAACTTTCTATTTCCTGAGGGATCGTATTATATTTCCCCCCAATCCTCAATGAATTTTGGAGATTGTATTGTAAGTTATATGGGATATGTATCGAGGTTATCAATATAACACAATAGGGTCAAATCTCCTATCGTCAGAAGTTTGATATGACAAGGATCCTTAATCTAGTATAGTTTGCAAATGTTCTTTGTTGTTGCCTTATACAGTAACCAAATCAGGCCAACATTACCCAAATTAGAGTTATTGACACATTGAACCAGGAAAAATTTGCTTGTATCACGAACGTCGGAACGTGGCAAAGGTACAGTTTTCTATCATCAAAATATTCCAACTGACATCGAATTTCAATTCAAAAAATGGATTAAACATTCAGTCATGAACAGTTTTTTATTTTATGAATTTTTTACGCGTTCAAATTGCGTTGTCGCGTTAATTTTACATATCGGAGTCATTCCATCATCAACATGAGGACACAACCGGCTGGCAGGGTGGTGCGCCAAAAGAAGCTCAACAGATCCACCCATCAACAAATTCTACGAGAAGACCAAATAGAATCTGCCGAATATGATTCATTACAAGGTCAATATAAAGTCGAGACTGGTGTCGAAAAAGCTGAAGAAAATGTTAGTTATCACGTGCTCGATCTTACCATATAATCACGTGATATATAACATATACTTACTCTTGTATCCCGAATAGGAATACCATCTTCAAGCTGCTCTGGCGGGCCACACTTCGGGTGATAAGGATGCACCACAAGAGATTCCCGCCCCTCCTGCAGAAGAAGGTACCGACATTGACTATGAATCATTATACTCAAGGAAATTTGACAAACCTGCTACCTATATCCGCTTTTCACAAACCGTGGAAGAATGTACTGGTTGCCAATATAACATGACTACCGAAGATGAAATTTTTCTAAAAGATTATAACAAAAGGAAAACCCTTTCGAACCAACAGCTCTCGGAAGATAATTTTGAAAAGCTCATGGAAATTTTCGAAGAAACTGCTGAAAATAAAACCCCGTGGGCCTCAATAGACAAGACATTGGTGAGTTTTGAGACCATGAAAGAAGTCATCAAGGAACGAGGAGAGGAAAAGATCTTTGGTCATCTGAAGGAATTATATGAGTATTGGAAGTCTCGACGGCAGGCCTGTGATAATCATGGCATTCAGCCTAGTCTGAAGTTTGAAACTCACCAAGATCAAGATGAAGGCGATCCATATGTTTGCTTCCGGCGCCGTGAAGTAAGAGCTACCAGGAAAACCAGAGCAAGAGATATGCAAATCACAGATAAAGTTAGGAGACTGAGAAAGGAAATGGAAGAAGCAAGGGACCTGATTAAAATGGCGACTGAACGCGAAACTTATAAGAAAAAACTCTTGCAATGCGAACGTTCCGTGTTCGAATCTCGTAGTGAAATCAAGAGCCTCAAGATCAAGCTGGGTATCAAGAGTGATCCTGATGACGAGCTTCTCATCAATCAGAAGGTATGCATAATCTCGACCACTGGAAGAGAGTTCGAACATCCTACTGACAATTCGAAGCCACAGAAGAGGAAGGCCATGGACTTCCAAAATGTGCAACGCCAGCCAGCTCCACTTCGTATTCCACCTCGCCCTGATGGTCGCGGAATTGAAATGGATATGGTACAGTTAAGTCATGTGCTGGCCCAAAAGGAGAACATGCTGCAAAGAGAGCTCGAGGAGAAATCCGCACAGCACATCAAGTGGAATGAGAACTTCATCGACTGCACAAGGGAACCACTCCTACCAGTTGAAGGACAAAGCTCGAATACGAGCTTTCGCCCAGCAACAGCTCAATACAGTCAGTATTTACTGACGCCACCATCATCTGTGACTTCCGACTCATTTGATCAAGCATCTCCAGTGAGCCAAGAAAAACCAGACGCGGTGACCGTGCGGTATAGTACACCTCCAGAAGAAGATGATCGTCGTTCGCAGCCAGCATATCGGAGACGAATTGGCCGAGGTGGTCGGTTGTGGATAGACCGGAGAGGAATGTCTACAGCTGTCAACAAAAGCATGGAGAGGAAATCTGATCGTTGGAAATATGACGAGGATGAGGATGAAGATGACGGACAGCCTGTATACGAGGTAGACCCGTATGATACCAACCCTCTACGTTTTAGATCCACAATACCTCTTTCTGGTCATTTGTATCCGGATGCACATCGGCGAAGCATGTTCCAACATCAATCGCAATCGAACAGGACTGGTACTGGAGGTAGTCCTGGTAACAACCGAGCAATCGGGCCTCCAATCCATCATAGTAATTAGGAATTTTCTTTTTCACGACAACTGGGTTGTCACTTTACCAGAAGCGGCTCCATTGTGAGGCTTCTTTGTAAAATCAACTTCTGCAGGGTTCAACGGGCAATGGGGGGTAGGGGCGTTACCCAGGGAAAGGGCTGAGCGTTGATTTGTTGTCATTAGAAGTTTTGTCCGAAAGTACCCAATGAGGGTATCTAGGCGACCTATGTGTATTTTAGCGCTCACGATCGAGCAAAAGATCATTCTGAAATGATTATAGAGGAGTCAAATATGACGCCCAAATAATAATCTCCTCCAAAAGCACTCCCAGAGCAAAATGAAAAGCTTCGTGACCTACCAACCAAAGTGTTCTCGGCATCAATTGAAATTGACATTCTACCTCGAACGTCCCTTTTTCTTTGGCTGTTCCATGTCTTCTCCTTTTCTCTTTGCATTTTTCATCGTTCCCTCCTTTGAAGGCGCAAGCCTCATACGATGGTTACCACCCGAAAATGTACCTGCTTCTTGAATTGCTGCTCGTAACACTTTCTTCTCTCCAGAGCGTACTTGAATCGCCATCGCGGTTCGAATTGGGAGATTCACATTCTTGAGAAGATCTTCGTCCTCTTCAAGAGTAGTCGAGTACTCATTTTCTCTCGCTTGTAACAAAATTGCTAGGACCTGGCCTGCGAGCTCCGTGGTAAGTTTGGAACGGCTTGGTAGACTGCTCTCTGAGTCTAAGATTGCTTTAAGATGACTTTCGTCAACAAGTAAGAGATACAGAAATGCCAAAAGCTCATCTGGTATACTTGGCTCATCTGGACTAAAGTGAACGAGATCAAACGACTCATCATAGATCCCTTCTCGTTCGGCCAAATCAAGACGAACTTTCAACTTGTCTTGGGTGAGCTTTGGCAACGACGGATGAACCTTGCCATTCCGGAACAAGGAAACAATGAGTTCCGCTGAGATCTCAGCGACATCGTATGTGGAGTATCCGTCTGTGACATAACCGTATCTTCTTAAGAGATCAGACCTGGGAAGCTGGCCATAACTAAAAGTCTCTGTCAGTAAATCATAAACGCAGCTAAAATTGAGAATGAGGAAAAGACGAACTCGTTGAATATTTCTTCCCCTTTCGCAATAGGTTTGATTGCTCGCATCTCTAGTTCCTCATTATCGCAGATCAAGCGGGCATTGTTCCTGTCTGCATCTGCATTGAGCATGTCGGCCAGCGGAATCATAGATAATATGGTTTTTTCATCTTCCCCATCATCGGAAACCAGGTCATCTGCCGCTTCTTCTCCTTTGCCCCCGGAGGTTGGACCATCGGAGGGATCTGGTATGTCGAATGCATATGCCATGATAACAGAGGCTACTTTGTGACACATCTCCGTGCTAGAATGCTGTAAGCCTTGCGGAGTTATGTAAGTTTTGAACATATCTTCAGCACCCTGTTTTCCGATTTTCTTCACTACTGCACTCGCTTGCAATTCTGCGAGCTCGCTATCTGACCAGAACACCAAGCTGTTCAGTTGTTCTGGTAGTATCGCGAGGTATGGAGCCCACTTAGAATCGTCTACTTGTCCTTCCGCCATGAGTATTGAGGTGAGCGCCTGAAATCCAGTCAATCATTGTATTCGAATCTCATTGAGACGCCCATCACTACTTACCAGCCAGCTTGGAATCTTCTCTGAAAGCCGTTTCGAAATCGCAAGGGGCTTCGCATTCTGAGCATTTAGCACGGCACTGCGAGGGATGCTGAAGATGATCTCGTCGTCATCAATGTCTTCTATGGCCACTGTTACATGTCAGCGAGAGATCCTCTTCGGATCACTTCATAAAAATCAACAGAAAGCAGACAGCGGCTCTTTGATCGAAGCCATACCGCAATAGTAATAGAAATGTTAAGAAAGAATGGATCATACCGACACCTCGCCCTCGACCTTCCTGACGGAGGTCCACCAAGGCCATCTTTGGATTAGTCCGGATACCCATTTCTTGGAGCCATGCTGAGAAAGTTGCTGTTCTAGCTTCAAAATCGTCGACGTCCATAATTTCCGTACACTGACTTATGCTGCTGAAAAGATAATGTACGTGGTTGTGTGTAATGTAGTAACAGAATTGGCGCAAGTAATAGTGAGTACTGTAATTTCTAAACTCGCACCAAAGCGACAAGTCGCTAAAATAAACCGAGCAAATCAAGGGGCCCTAGTCCTGATAGGGACAGAATGTGGGGCATTGCAAGGTCAGCAGGAAAAATTTCGCACTCTTGTAGTTATTGATTGAGTTGAATGAAAAGTGCTAGTATCATATGCTGCATTAATTTTATCAATTGTGCACATATACTGATTAAACCGGTCTAGATATTGGTTGTGCTACTCAGATATTTGAAAGCATCAGGTTACCTAGCAATTCTATATATTGCGCTTACGTTACTTATTTTCAGTATAATCCTTATCGATTAGTTCTATTTGTGATTTTCAGCCTTGTCTAATTTAGCGGCCGTGGGCATCGGTCTTATCCATTTCATCGTCGACCCCTCCTTGATTTACATTTTATTGTTGAAATTTATAAAACCCAACAGCCAAGATGATTGCTATAGGGCTTGAAGGTAGTGCTAACAAATTGGGTGTTGGTATTATATCACATCCTTCCAAAGGCAAACCAGCCGAAATTCTTTCCAATATTCGACACACCTTTGTTTCGCCTCCAGGAGAAGGTTTCCTACCAAAAGATACTGCGAAGCATCATCGATCATGGGTCGTAAAACTTGTGAAGCAAGCTATGGCGCAAGCCGGAGTGAAAGTATCTGACATCGACTGTATATGTTATACGAAAGGCCCTGGCATGGGAGCACCTCTCCAGAGCGTTGCTATCGCAGCGCGAATGCTCTCTCTGTTGTGGGGTAAGGAGTTGGTAGGGGTAAATCATTGCGTCGGGCACATAGAAATGGGCCGAGAGATTACTGGGGCACAAAATCCGGTTGTTCTATATGTTAGCGGAGGAAATACACAAGTTATTGCATATGCAGAGCAAAGATATCGAATTTTTGGAGAAGCGTTAGATATTGCAGTTGGTAACTGTTTGGATCGTTTCGCAAGGACCCTGGAAATTAGCAACGACCCTGCACCAGGATACAATATCGAACAACTAGCAAAGAAGGGAAAGGTATTACTGGATCTGCCATATGCGGTGAAAGGAATGGACTGTTCGTTCTCTGGAATCTTGGCAAGCATTGATATACTCGCGGCGGAACTCAAGGCGAACCCAGAGCAAAAAGATCCAGTCACTGGAGAAGTTATTACCACGTCAGATTTGTGTTTCAGTCTACAGGAAACTGTGTTTGCGATGCTGGTGGAGATCACAGAACGAGCTATGGCTCATGTAGGGAGCAACCAAGTCCTCATCGTGGGAGGCGTAGGTTGTAATGAGAGGCTACAAGAAATGATGGGGTTGATGGCAAGAGATAGGGGAGGAAGCGTTTTCGCAACCGACGAACGTTTCTGCATTGATAATGGTATAATGATAGCACAGGCTGGACTTTTGGCGTACGAAACTGGCTTCAGGACTCCATTGGAAGAGAGCACTTGTACTCAGAGGTTCAGAACGGATCAAGTCTTCGTCAAATGGAGAGATTGAATAATATATTAAGAACTTAATCCTGTCATCTCAAGAGGGGGCTCACAGACTTGCGTATCGCTGCTCCTACTTTGACTGATTAAAATCCATCATCGGAGTCATCATCTTCCTCAATTATGATCTGCGCCGATAGCCCGTGCTCGTCCTTCTTTCTGCCTCTATCCTTTTCCAGCCATCCGGAATATCTCTTCTCTACAGAAGGGTCGACCTTCCATTTCGATGGATCCGGTTTCGAGTTTCTCTTCTTATGTTCCCGTGCGGCGCGTATCGATGCCACAGAAAGATCTGTGTCTTCAGGGCCTGATGTCAACTTGAACAGTGATGCGAGTATGCTGGAGGAAACTCGTAACAACGAACCTGTGATCAAGCCGATGACGATTGCAGACCCCAAGAATATGATGATGATCTGATAACTGTTAGCCATAATCCATCAATTTGTTATTGCATCAAGCTTGCCTCGAATTTCGCTATTACTTTCAGAGGAAGAAACATAGCAGAAACCATAGAGTTTCCTAAATGTAGCAGTGGGGCCAGAGCAATCCTAAGAATAGCCAATAGCCAACTGGAAATAACAATAATTGGCAAGGAAATATAATAGAAAGTGCTTCCTATAATCGACGGCCATGTTGTATATGAGAGTTCCATTATGAATAATGACTGAGTTGTCTGAAATGACAGGGAGATGCAAGGCTGACAGATCAGATCTGGTCTACAGCTGTGATCTAATGCTTAATAAGTAGAACTTGAAATATTCTTGAAAATTCTCATGGTTTAATAAGCCTTTCACGGGTATGTTTTTGCTGTAACTGAGTGGTGATAATGATGTTTGATTAAACAGGACTACAACAATTTGGGTAATACCACCACTACCTCTGTACCGATGTGTGATAAAGGAAAGAATGGAGGAATAGAACAAGAGAAGAACGAAAGAAGCTTTAATGAAGGCACAGACCAAGTCAGCTACTGTAACAAGGATTCAAAGCATCGTCGCAATTTTTGTGGGTTGGACTTCAATAAAGCTGATTGTGGGGTTGAAGGAACAAACCTTAAGGAAGGAATCAACTTCCAAGGTTCGCTCCAGAATCTTTTCCTCGAAAGAACCATCCCAATTTTTTTATTGTATTTAAAACCTCAAGCTCAAATTTCGATTATTTCTAAGATACCCTTTAACAAGTACAGGCCATTCAGATTCGTGGAACAATATATTCATTTCAAATCATAATCAAAAATACTTATTTACAACTCATGAGATAGCTTTGCTCCACAGGCCGTTCCCCTCGACCCGCTGCCTTTCTTTTCCTTTAAAGGGCTCTCACCCCCCCGGAAAGGAATCATTTTTTTGAGTGCGTTGGTTAGAATCACACGACCACTGTCATAATGGGAAATACACCCTCTACCAACACGAGGCCTACTGCTTCTACACCTCATTCGCATTCTCCCGCACCTTCGAGCCATAGTAATGACTCATCAAGAACATCCTCAGCTCGCAGAGATCCAAGGAATTTGATACACGCGCATAGGACTGCTGCGAGAGCAGAGCCTTCTCTTGCACAGGCTCACGGATCGAATGTCACACACCGCCCGCGCAATTCCCAATCACACCCTGCTGCACAATTCAATAATTCTTTGCCGAATTCGGGAGTTAATACACCTTCGGCGCATGACAGAGAACCACAAGTAGGCCTGCAATCACATAGACATGAACCAGAGACAGAAAAGATCGCCGTGAGAGATCAGCCAACCAAGCCAGTTGATGTTCCCATGCCATCCTCCAATTACGACGCTGCAACGTCCAGATCCCATTCACATTCCCTATCAAGCCCTCAGGCCACATCTGTTGACCCTTCTGGTCCCCCCATTCAAGATATGTCGTATCATCTTTCGCGACCTCCGAGGCTTCCACTGCCAATTGAAGAGGAAGTGCACACCCCAGGGTCGCCTCTAGTCACACCGGCTGATTCGATCGCCCCAGCTTTAGACATAGATGCTCTGGACAACGAACCACCGCTTGCAAGACGGAATTCGACGTTGAGTAGTACGACGATAGATGAAGAGGACGCCGAGGAAATTCAAATCGATCGGACCAAGGCAACGGTACCAACGTTGTTCGAGTGGAGAGAAGGCGGAGAGAAAGTTTATGTAACTGGAACCATATTTCAGTGGAATAAGAAGCAAAGATTGAGTGCAGTGTGAGTTCTAGTCTTTCCAATGAATCCCTTGAACTCCAAGATTTTAACAGTACACTAATATTTCCCAGAGAAGGGGAGCCGGGACTTTTGAAAGCGATAATTCATGTACGACCTGGAACTCACCACGTTCGATTTATTCAAGATGGCATTATGAAGTGCTCAGCACTTCTTCCAACCACTGTCGATTTCGGCAACAATCTAGTCAATTATATCGAAGTCAGCGCCGATGACCTGCCTCATGATGAGAGTTCTGTAAATATACCTAGCGAACCAATTGGAGGCTCGGAAACCAAGTCTGAAATCACCCAGCCCGAGCCAGTGCCTGCAGAGGAGAGGTCGAAGCCGAAGCCAGTCTCCAAGATGAAGCGCGCAATCTCCCAGAGTCGATTTACATCAGAAATCCCACAATACCTCATAGATATGGATAAACCCGAAGACTCCAAGGAATACCGGTACGCAATTGCTGCTATAGACAAATTGCCTCCTCCACCTACTCTCCCAGGATTTTTGGGAAAACCTATCTTGAATGCAAATGCACCGATGAAGGATGACAATAGTGTTCTCATTATGCCTAACCACACTGTTCTCAATCATCTAGCTACGAGCAGCATCAAGAACAATGTTCTTGCTGTTTCTGCCACTACGAGATATAAGCGAAAGGTACGGGAGCGTCTTTACCAATTTATGTTATATACTAATTCGCAATGTAGTATGTCACAACAATCATGTATAAGCCTACAGCGGAGGAATAAGAATAAGAATAAGAAACAGCAATGCGAGATGTTATAGTCTATGAATAGTGAACCTGGTGGACCTGGATACCAACGAAAATCATACCTGCATCGAGTAAGTAACAGTTTGAGCAGATCAGCTTGCTTCGCATGTTTTCCCGATGGCAAACTACATGCAGAATACTACAATAAGAAAATTAACCACAAATAATGATCTAATTATTTACACAATGTTTAGATGTTGACAGTAGCAATGGCAAATGCAGTACACAATCCACTTGTAATTGCAATCTCATTAGACTTCATTAAAGCGCACTCGAAGCTACTTCCTAGTACTCCCGCATAAATCCCACCTACCCCTTATCTATTTTAAGCTTATGTACCCATCCGATCTCTCCCCGCTAATAGCACGTGCTGATAAGCCCCCGCTTCCTGCGATAAGAATTTTTTCGAAAAAGTTGATGCCAAGAGAAAAACAGTATCGCGGAGGTATCACAAGCTTTCCCCAAGTCTCCAGCGCAAACATCATCAAGTCGCATGTTGCACAATCCAAAATACGAGACTCTGTCATAAGTACTTCCAAGCTGAATCTTCCGAGAACTAAGTTCACATCACTCCGTTTATTCGAATATCTTTTGAGACACCTGCCAGCGAAAGTCAAGTAATCCTTGAATCTCAAGCTCTCGAGCTCGAACACATCCAAGTTCGCAATTTCACAAGCTCGTCACTATGCGCACACAGCCAAATATTATAATAACAGGTACGCCTGGTGTAGGAAAAACTACTCATTGCGAACAATTGGCTGAGAGCACCGGATTGAAACATTTGAGTGTCAATGATGTGGTTAAGGAGAAAGGGTGTCATGAGGGCTGGGATGATGAATTGAAGACTTGGATTGTGGATGAGGATAAGGTTGGTCTGATTTCTTTTGCGAGCTTGACAGGAGATTCATCTCAATGGATTGTTGAGACTTTATGGGGGGTTTTGGCTAATTGATTGAGAATCTATAGTTATTAGATGAAATAGAAGAAGACGTCAAGCAAGGCGGATATATCATCGATTGGCACGCTTGCGAATTATTCCCGAAAAGCTGGATTGATTTGGTGGTTGTATTGAGGGTGGATTCGACGCTGTTGTATGATCGGCTGAAGGCGAGGTATGTTTTCTCCAAGTTTATGCGGATGGAGACTGCATCTAGAATGTAATAACGATAGGGAGCGATGATCGAGAAAGCTAACTTTAATTCAAATATAGAAATTATCCAGAAGCCAAGCTACAAGAAAATCTAGATGCGGAAATTATGGAGGTTCTACTTGATGAAGCGAGAGAGAGTTATGATGAGGAGATTGTGGTGGAGCTACGGAGTGATACAAGTGATGAGGTGGAGAGTAATGTGGAGAGAGTTGAGGCATGGGTCAAGCAATGGAAGAAGGATCACGCGGAGGATGAGCAGTGATATTTTTTTAGGCATCGATTATTGTTGCTCAGTCCATGAGGTGCTATTGAGCTTCAGAGAGCACTATCTATCTGTCACTTCATTCCCTTTCCTCCGTTTATTGGACTCTATGCTTCTTCTTGCAGCCATGTCTTCAATTTCTCGAGTGCTCGGAAACGATGAGAGATTTTGTTCTTCTTAACTTTCTCCATCTCGGCGTATCTAAAGGGGGCGGGGTCAATATCTATGTGATATGATGGAATAAATACACAAAGTGGAATAGGAAAGAGTTCTTACGTTTGACCTTCATACTCGAAAATAGGATCCCAACCTATGAGTCAAGGAATGTTAGTAAAAAGAGGTCTTTTTAGTGGTGCAGTAGAACATACCAAATGCAGCTGGACCTCTTGCAGGTACGATCTTGCCCTGAGAATTGTTAGAGCCATACGACGGCACGCAGGAATATGGGGGAACTCACGTCTGTTCTTCCTTGAAAGATAATAGGTTCATGGCCCGGGCCTTCAGAATAGGCAAATGTACACACTGCTTGTGCAGATTTATCTGAAAATCCAGCAAGCATATTATTCAGTCCATCATGACCTAGTTTATCCATAAACCATTTACTGCCTTTCATTAGTGACCGAAACACTCTCAATGTAATTCTTGATTGGGAAATCCTACATATATGGACCAGGCAATTCCTTTAATGCATTGAAACATAAACATGTATCCTCAACTAGCACTGGACCTTGAATCTACATTCGATATTAGCAATACTGGCAAGGCCGGCGAACACGAAAACACACAATTTCTGCAGCTCTTCGGCATTTATCGCTAGAGATTTCCTCAATAGTTCCTTGAATCTCAACGAGGTCGAGAGATTGACTTTGAAGGTCAATAGTATCGCCCAAAATAGCTTTCACCTCGACAAGTTTGTTTTTGTTGCCGGTGATGAAATTGAGGGTTTTGGGAGGAGCCATGATGAATGGAGATGTAAAGATTTTCCTTATGCAGGAAAGGTAATTGTTGACGAATGAGCGTGTGAGAGTGCAAGTTCAAGAAGTGATGTAAAATCTTAAGCTTTATAAAATGTTGTACCTTTAAATTCCTTCCCTTGAATTGTATTGTGATATATACGAAGCTTCGACTCGTCCGGTCAAAAGGTAGTGCAGCTGCATTGGCGAATATGGATCGTGCAATCCCAGCACCGCACCACATCCACAAAAACTGGTGGCGGCATACATAGACTCCAACAACCACACCGAAAAATCCTAGCTAATGGGGAAGGTAATGATTATATTACTCAATTGACCTCATCTTTCAACAATAGTTTATCTTCCATCATGGACGATTTCTATCAGCCCCTCACGAATTCCACCGATGCCATTAACACCTCAAAATCCGGAGGTTTGATTACAAATGCCCTCACAATTATTCGCTCGGTGCCGTTGCCTGTTGTTCTTAGTATCGCTTTAGCACCGGCACTTCTGGTTGTAGCAACTAGACTACTGAGCGAGAGGCCGTCGGAAAAGCAAAAGGGGAAGGATGGAAAATCGGTTTGGATGCCGGCTTATTGGGTGCCAGGGCTGGGACATGTGGTTGCATTGTACGTCTCACGTGCCATATAGGGGTAGTGGAATTTCGAGACTGATGAAAGGATAGTTTGGCGAATGGAGAGAAGTTGGCTAGCGAATTAAGGTAGTTATAATCCTGAATTATGGCAGTATAGAATAGATGCTGACAAGTGTATAGAGACCAAAGTGCTCATGGTGAGTTCAGCCCAACACGTTTCCCGAGGCGGGAAGTTTTCATATTTGGAGGCCTTTGGACTCTCATAATTTATAATTGAGGGCATTGCAATGCAATCTTTAAACGTTACATAGGTACTGATGAACTGAGCCAGGTATATTTGCGCTTAATCTCGGAGGCTCTACCCATAATATCAGTAAGTCGCTTGCATTTTCCGAGTAGCCATTCAAAAACTGATCAATATAGTCTCAAATCCAAACTTGGTAAAGGCGTAAGTATATGAGCGTGGGCATATTCATATCCAAGATCACTAATGTTGTATTAGAGTACTACAGAAGAGGGAATCAGATGTTGCATTCAAGACTGTTGCGTTAGATCTATCAACGAAGGTAGGTACTTCACAGTCACAAAATTGAAAACCATGAGTTGGCATAGCTTGTGTTGCTAATAAATATCTTAGTTTTTTGGACTACCCAAAAAGGCAAAGAAAGTATATATGGACAACTGGGAGGTAAGACTGCTTCATTTTCAATACCACACCAAGCTAAATATTGTCACAAGGAATACACATCTGTTTTCACTTATCTCATGAAAGAACCATATCTAAGTAGCATGCTGGACAAAACCATACGCAATCTTGAAGAACTAATTCCACAGATGGTTTCATTCATGGACAGTGAGATAGATCAACATCCGTGGGAGAAATGGGCAAATGCGGAGTACATTTCAAACAACGAAATGGAGATTGATCTTATGGCCTTGGTACGAGATATACTTGGGCATGCTTCTGTACCATCTCTTTTCGGACGTGAATTTTTGGATAATAATCCACATGTCCTGCACGATATTTATGAAATGGATCGTGGTATGATGTATTTCATCATGGGCCTTCCATGGTTCACTCCTTGGCCTGCTGTTGCTAGAGCTCATTATTCTCGCTCCCAAATTCAACAAAGTATGACCAAATTTCAAGAGGCTCTTGATGCTTCAGTCGATGGGAAGCAAATGGACTCCTCATGGGGTGATTTAGACGACGTTAGCGACTTCATCCTGAAGAGACATGAATTGTTTAGAAGTAAGATCACAGAAAACTTCATCCTTATAACAACTGACATTATGGTAGAACATGGCTTAAACCCGAATGAGCGTGGAGATATATCTGTAAGCTCACATTTCTTCCGCCTCTTAAGTCACTATCTAACATTATCATTAGGTTATCTGGGCTCTCATAGTGAACTCTACCCTCATCGTCTACTGGCACCTCCTTTACATCCTCTCCACTCCCGGGCTCGCCGATAAAATCCGCGCCGAGATCTCCCCCTATGCAACTGTAACCCCTGGCGAGAAAATCGGCTCTATTTCAGAAGCACCACGCATCCACCTCTCTCACGAAGAGCTATCCAAAAAATGCCCCCTTTTCAAATCCACCTATCTAGAAGCCTCACGTTTATCTTCCCAGCCCGTATCTCTTCGAAAACTGGAAAATGATATCACCCTCACCGATGCATCATCTGGCAAGGACACTGACAAAACTACCTACACGCTCCACAAAAATGAATACGTTACCCTCCCCCACGACCTCCACATGCGCGACCCCTCATACTTCCCCTCCCCCGCCGAATTCAACTCGGAGCGTTTCCTCGTCACCGATGAAACAGGCAAAACATCCGTCGACCCCCAAACCATCCGTCCCTATGGTGGCGGACCCAGCATGTGCAAAGGACGCGTATATGCCGAGCGAGAATGTTTGGCTTTCGTAGCAGGGATCCTTATGTATTGGGACATCGGACCCGTTGCGAAGAAAGGGGAGAAGAAGGGTAAATGGACGATTCCCAAGATGGTAAAAACCAGTGCGGTGTGTTTGCCGGATAAAGAAACGAGGGTGAGGATTAAGAGGAGAGAGGTTTGATTGAGGGTGAGTTGTAGGTTTTTAGCTTGTGATTAGAGATGTAAGGGAAGGGTATCGCGGAGAATAGCGACGAGAATTTCAATTTGAATACAGCGATGGATGACTACCTATTGAATTGTGATCAATAACATTGAATGTAATAAACCCGCTACTGAGATAGTAACTATCAATTATCAGCTTTCACCCAAACATGCTCGTTCAGTCAGCGTTCAAGACATCATCTTCACCCCAATGACGAAAGACGACTCACGTCCCCCCTCCTTTACAAGCAGAAACAAGAATCATCCGATAAAACTAGCGGAAGCTCCTGCTACAGTTAACATCAATGTTTTGAATCAATCGTCAAGTAATACAGTTTGGCCAAAGCCAAATAATGATTTCCTCCTGGATATCGAATGAATGGAGGGTCAGAAAAGAGGCAGAGTGGAAAAGAAGAAAGACTCGAAACTCGAGAATATACACCCTATAGGTTGTAGACAGGGTAGCAAGATGGTAACGCGATAATCAAGGGAAAGGGAGAAGATACAATATGATATGATATAACGGTGACGGCGATGCGAAGATAAAGTGACAAGAGGAAGAAGAAGATTCCAAGCTACGAGTGACTATAGGAGTACACACTACTACCGCTAAGCCCAAATAAACTACGAGGCCACCGATGAAACCGAAGCATTTATCGACAAAGTAAATCAAGCACACAAGCACACAATCCACAAAATACATTCTAGATCGCATCTGGCTGTCTGTTTTCTCGTTCAAATTTGATCATATCAATCATCTCATTTCACATTTCTATTAAAAAATTCGCCCCAAAAACCACATGAATGAAGTAATAACCCACTCATTCCTATTCTTTTTCGTGAAAAAAGTTTTCTTCTAGTGATCTTCATCTCATCTTGTCTTTTCATATCATCGTCTAATATCAATCATCTCAGTTTGTCTTATCTTGTTCCCATATCATATCCCTAAAAGACGAAGCCGAAAAAAGAGAACCGAAAGATGTGTCTGAAAAATCGCAAGTGAGAAAGCAAAAGAGTATTAAAGTAACTTCCAACGCCTAATTGGGAGATTGTACACGATTGCACTTCGGAAAAATCTCGTGCTATCAAATCTACAAAAGAAAAAAAATCTTTTGGTCCCCCCTTCTCGCCTCCAAAGATATAAAAATATACGCTAACAATCAAGATTTCATGCTACCCCAAGGTTGTGCAAATGCTGGGAGGATCCCAAATGCCATATACAAAAGGCTCTCCAAGCCATGGCAGAAAAGGTCTTAAGTTCGAGGGTGTGAAAATGGTACAGAAGAAGGTAAGAAGTTTTGCATTGGATAACGGGACTGTAATTGTTCCCGCAATCAAGCACTGTTCGCCTCCTCGTTGTCTGATTGCTCGGCAATATCATCCTGAGTATATTCCATTTTTTCCTGCTGTTGCATGGCTTGCTGAGAAACTATCTCTGCTAGACGCTTTAACCTTGGAGTTTGAAGCCCTGAGTCCTTGTTAGTGATGATTTTTTTACAAATGTGGGGGGGGATAATTACATGAAGGTGTATATGTTTCTAGGGCTGTAATAACACGAGGTTCGGCGATCTCATATGGCCCACTATCATCCATATCAACGGCAGCCAAGAGCAATACGTCGCTCTTTTCTGTTACGCGAGAAGCGACAGCTTTCATGATTTCTCCGTTGATGGGCTGTTCGTAATCAGCGACGAGATATTGGTTAAGTAACTTCTGGATTTGATTAGGTGAGAGCATCCAGCAGATATCCTGAATAATCTCGATATCGTTAAGAGTGGCCTTTTTCAACTGGAGGAGCTTGGTTGCTTGCTGTAAACATGTTAGCACGTGGTCTTACTAGAAATACACAATGTTACTCACCATCAAGTGCTCTAGCTGCAAAGTTCCCTCTGGCATGTCATGACTCTTACACCATTCCTCGATTCTTGTAATATTGTAGTTGATTTGGAGTCCCCGCTTCCACGACAAAAAGTTTCTTCTCATCAAAAGATCATTGAATGCGGTGACACCAACCAACCTGAGCAATTCAGTAACTGTTTGGGTTATGATCGAGTCCTCTAAATAGTATGCTTTCATAGCTTTGAAAACATTGTTGAGCAAGCTAAGCAAGTTGTCCATGCTGAAGGCAGGTGCTGAATTCGTCTGGAGCAATTTGCCCAAGAATCTGTTGCTTTCATTGGTGACGAAACCTGGAAGTGATTGCGATTCGATAATAGCCGGAATAATCATCTTCTGCAACTTCTTCTTCAGTACCTTCATCCAAGTGTGATAAATATTGAACTCTAAGCTCTCGAGATCATGCTTGACGATATCAAGGAGACGGTCATACTCGAAATTGTCCGACTTCTGAGCTTCATACCAGTCTTCAGCCAAGAAGACAAAAGAAAGCATCTCGTGAACATTAGACAACCAAAAAGCACCAGGGTTGACAGCCTCATCACCGTCATGTTGCATGACTTCATGTTGAATAGATTGCATAACATTAGCGAGAAATCTTTCAGATTCCTTAACGAACCCATTGTTCCACATCTCTGATGTGACGAGGTTTATCAAGTAAGATGGGAAAAGGACTTCCTTGTCTGTTGGTGGTGGAGTAGATGAAGCCGCTGGGATCTTGAGGTTCTTGATCAAACCAATTGTAACTTCTTCATTCAAGCCCTCCTCATCAGCCAAAAGGTTCTCGAGCTCGAACTCAATGGTGTCAACACTTGGTTGGAATGTGGAACCAGAGAGTGTTTGTTGATGGAGATTGTTGCTTGTGACAGCCATAGATACTGGCCTTGGGTTGTATGCTGCACTGAAGCGATCTATCTCGCGTGGCTCGGCTCCTGCACTTCTGCGTTTCGGTTTCTTCGAAGAAACCAAGTTGATGAGGCCATTTTGTTGCGCAGCAGCAGCGCCATTCATAATCTCACCGTTCGGTGGTAGAATTGGGCCTGCACGCTTTGCTAGGTCAAGTTGATCTTGTAAGTCAACAAGTTGTTGTCTGAGAGTGATCTTCTCGGATTCGTGTAAGGTGCCCTCCTCCTTTGCCTTCTCGAGCTCCAAGTTTGATATTCTGAGAGACTCTCTGAGCTCTTTCTCTTCTTCTTGCAGACGCTTGATATTGACAGCTGACTCATCGAAGTTTGTTTGAAGTTTCGTCATTTCTTCTTCCATAACAGCGAGACGTGCGGCAGTTATTCCAGCTTGGTTGGCTTCAGTTTGCAATTCCTTTACCCGAGCTTCCAACGCATTGTGTCTGTTCTTCCATGACTTGATCTGATTTTCGTAGTTCTCCACTTGAGTCACTAAAGTCTTGTTCTCTCTCTTCATCGTGCCAACAGACTGAGTAAGTTCGACGACCTTGTTTTCCAATTTGTAGGAAATTTGCTTGAGATCTCTTGCTTCTTCACGGATCTTCTTGTACCCACGACGTGCTGTTTTACCTCTCCAAAGACTTTGGACAATGACAATCTTTTTCCTGTAATCTTTCCACTTCTTGAGTGACTGCCTCGATCGCCAGGATCTTTGGATGATCATAGCAGCATTTCCAACCCTGGTCTCCATGATTTCCTTTCTGCGCAAGAATCCCTTGGCAGCAGCTTGAGCGAGTATAACATTGTTGCGAATCGCCAGGAACTTCTTGCGCTGTTTCTGACCACGCCAAACTCTTTGGATGGTTGTGGCAGCCTTAACCTTACGATTCTCCTGGGCGTTCTTACGAGCCAGGTGACCTCTAACCGCCGATTGGAAAGTAAGGATCGCACCCCTAGCATCAAGATACCTGCGTCGATAGTATTTTGCTTTTAGATTCTTCTGTATCATGATTGCACAATCGTTAAGTCGGGTTGTTCGCAAGTTCTCCAAAAAGGCCAACATTCCTGCGCGGAAAAAGATCTTTGTCAGACCAAGTTGATACTTGTCCAATCCACCTCCACTGCTAGCACCGAGTGCTTTAGTAAGAATTTTGTTGGCCATGTCACGGATTTCTGATGTCCACGCTGATGATGGTGTCAACATGTAGTATCGTAAAGCAAACTCCTCATACGTCCAACGAGTAGGATATCCCGCACAACTGATGCGGACCGTCTCAAGCACACCGCAAGCTCGCAATTGACTCAAAACCATAGGACCTTCGAATACCCATGACTCCTTAGCCTCGTTGGGCTTGATACAGCGAATGTAGTGAACATCAGTACCGTTGATAGTGCTCATAAGCTCGATAAGAGATGACTTGAAAATTCCACCTAGAGTAGGTTTGCGATTGACAGCAACACCAATGCGTCTACCAGGTGTAGGTTTTGTTGCAGCCGAGGTTGTTGCCGAGGCGGTATCCTTTTCCCTCACAGCAGAGGCAGCATCCAAAACTGTGCCCAAGAATTTGTTCGAGGAGGCTCTCAACACTGCCATATGCTCATCAGGAACAGTGTCACGATTCTTGTCAATAAAGCCGTCCGACTCATAAGTGACATCGATAGCATAATGGCAAACTGTGAATGACGATTTCCCGAAGCGAGGCTTTTTGTAGAATTTGTTCTTGTCGGCAGCGAAATTATGATGCAGCTTTGTGACAAATTGTTCGTCTGATCCCATAGGCAGCCTGGATTCTTCGTCAAGGAGTGACAATACACCAAGCTTTCCCTCAATCAGATCAATACAAGGTTGATTGTCCGAAAAGTCGATAAACGTCCAGTCAATCTCCTCCCTGAGATATTCCTCTTGTTCGAGCTTGAACACGTGAGCGTTAAACTCTTGTTGGAGCTTCTCATTTGCGTAATTGATACAAAATTGTTCGAAAGAGTTCTTGGCAAAATGCTCGAAACCATAAATATCCAACACACCAATGAAAGTCTTCACACGGGCTAGGACTTCATCGGTGGCAAGGGCATGGTTGATACTGTCTACGAGCCAATCGAACATACTTGAGTAGATGAACTTCGCAACCGAGTCTCGCACAACAATGGCTTGTTGTTGAGTCAAGTTTGAAGTAATCTTCTC